AGTAGATTTGACTTAACAATAATTCCTATGACCTCACGTAAGAAATATAGGAAAAAATGACAAATAATTTTGCTGATAAAAGCGAATTTTTTAAGTAACTGAAATTGTTATGATGAAATAGGTGAAGTAATATAAAATAATGTGAATTGAAGTTTTCAAGAAAAAAAATCAATGCCTTAAAATGCTTTAAATTTAGCTAATGGTTACTAGATTAATAGCTTAACAGAAAGGGGAAAAAGTTTGGAAAGTAATGCTATAATATGTAGGCCAATTCGCCTTCTAGTAGATTATATTCATTTTCACTAACAAAAGTATCAAAAACAGCAATTTAAGGGCTAGTTAGTAAGATAAATAACGATTTATATTCTAATATTAGGTGTCAATATAAACTTTAAAAGGTCTTACTTCCACATCTGATAGACTGAAGAGAAGATCTCTGGAAAATAGGCAAATATGCCATTTACAATCAACATAAAAGTAATCAGGATTGCATTCTGTAGTTTCATTGCCAATTCCATCATCAAGAGCTTCCATGGGAGTACAAAGAGCAGAAAAACGATCTATTGCCTTCACTGCACCGGGAAGTCCAACACCTTTCATTAGTTTAGCGATTCGAACGACATGATCTTCAGAAGTAAGTCCATAGGCGATTGGCAGGAAATAGTCGTCATTTTTATTGCACTTTGGAACAGAATTATGTAATATACCATCTAAAACCAAATATAGGATAACTGACATGAATATATCCAAAAAAGTATTTTATTACTATAAAAAGGAAAAGTAATTTAGCCAAAAAAGAATTACTTCAAGTTATAGGAATAAATTGGCGGATATATAAATGTACATTTATTAAAAATGTTCTTACTTTTAGTCAATTCATTATAAATCATACTAGAAAATAGATTAAGTTCCGATATCAATTTTGGCGAAATAATATTATATCCGATTAAAGAACATGATCGGTCAATAAAAAACTCAAAAGCAATCTGTGATAGATTTATGCTTTCACTGATGCGGTGAAAAATATCAGATATAATTCTATGCAGCTTGATAATATTAGAAGAGGCTATCTAAAGAGAGTAAATAAAAAATTTATACTGTTGTAAAATGCATTATCGAAATGTGAGGAGGAAAATCAAATGC